TCTCATGCAGCTATTCAACCCGTTTGCGAAACAATAACAACGCAAGTAAAATTCGGGAACAGCCTTCAGCATTTATGTTTATAAATATTTGACTTAAAAATAATACTATGAACAATATTTTAACGCTCTTTTATACGAAGCAAACCCGAGCACGGTATCCTAATGAGTCGCAAAGGTATTTTTAGGGACCTTACCAAATCTTTGACGTGAAACAAGGGAGAATTTCGTTTTAGACCAATCAGCTTATTTGTTTCAGTAAGCCAATCAGAATGCATTAATCTGACTACTCCGGCAAGAAGTTACATGAAGTATTAAAAATTTAGGAGTTCTGATTGGCTCTGCCTGAAAATGTATAAAATATGCGGATTTGTTCAAAACGAAATTTCTCCTTGTTACGACGTGATAATACTGTCTTAATTTCCACAGTTTTCACATGCAACAGGAATAAAAATTATGGAACTGACCTTTAGGGCACTATGACTTGCACATAAAAATAAATAAACAAACGAAAGCATTGTCAAGGCGAATTTTTCTGTCCGGGTTAAAGTTTATTACGATTACATAACTAACCCGTATTCTAAAGCTTACTCACACTCAAACTCATTGAGTGGGAGATCTTAATTTCTCATAACGTTTCAATGCGGTATTTCCAGTCGAATAGAGGCTTGATTTTCAGTTTTTTACCTTAAATCTTTCCATCTATTCAGAAAAACTTTCTCATTGAGCAGCAATAGCAAAATTTCTAAGTCACACTCAATAGTGCGAGTGAGAGTGAGCTTTTTGAATACAGCCGTAAGTTTCAGTCCGGGCTGAAATTCCAGTTAATTTTTGAGTTAATTTCCGCGCTGAAATTCTTGTCATGTAATCGCGTGCGCGATTTTGTTGGGATTTATAACAACCCCGGGCTGAAGTTGAAAGTCGGGACACAAGGGTATAAATGTTTAACATAAGCAAATTTATGCATGATGACACAGTTAAATTTATTTGTACCCACAAATGATTTTTATTAACAATATTTAAACTTTCCAGATATGGATAACAAATGCATGGATTTAAATTTGCAGCTCAAGCACCATGACCTTCTCACTAATTAACCTTTAGCTGTTTTTCCTCAACTTTTAGAATTCCATTTCGTTCGATACTTTAAATGCTAGAACGCTTTTAACTATTGCTCGGTCTATCCGTCTGGTTTATTGTCTCGCCTTTGCTTTAACTGTTATTTTATCAATTGATGGTTTTATCGACATCTTTCAGTTGTATCCGTTCATTTCAAAATTGTTCCCGGAAAAAAGAAGTTTAGATCATTGAGACCATTGTGATATGACACACTGGCAATATCCGTTTTCCTTCTTAATTGCGTCTCTCTTTGAAACATTGTTGTCTCATTCATGTCCGTTCGACGTCTGAAACTGCCCTAAGTGCTCTTTGAGTTTGCTTTCATCTGCGTCTACTAATTCCCGACTTTATATGATCATTTGCCGCGAATTACTATCTCACGATCAGGTCAATCAATTTGAATATAAATAGTTTCGACTAATAGTTTCGATATATATATATTAATTTCTTTAAAATGCATGGCAGCTAATTTTCTCTTTTTAATCTTAAATTAGCAATAATAGTGGCCTAAAATTTGCTTCTTCGTTACTCATGATTGCATCGTACAACTTTCCCTCTTTGTAAATTAGAAACTTATATATTGTCTCCTATAATACGCACATGATATTATGAACATTTATTACATTAACTAAGGTCCAGATTATGCAATTTGCTCTTCCGATATATGAAGTGAGAATTTGGCTGTAAATAAGTAAGAGCGAGATGTATTCACAAAAAATCTAAACTAAAGAGAATTTAAATATATAATTAAGGACGTTAATGGCCTTTTAGATCATCTGTATAGCTGCTTAATTATTAATAATAGTTTCCCATATCTCTGATTGTTTTGAACCTTTCACAATCTGTTTCACCTTCGTCGTGCACAGATCCCGTCGACTCGTAACTTTCTGCAGCCATCATTTTTGAAAGATCTATTTCTTCATATGTCACCGTCTCAACACTATCAGTTGTTTGAGGCTTTTCTCCGCCAGATCGTCTCTCTCCAATCCGACCACGAAGACACAGCACAATGCAACAAAGAAAAGTTCCGATACAAATTCCCAAAACAACCGATATCAAAACGATATACCATGCAGTTCCATGAATCGATTTCCCGGAATCTGTTTTTTCTAAAAATTGAAGAGAGCATGTGCGTATTCAGTTTTTGGACAGGATTCATTTGTAACTTGTTAATTAAAATGTCACTCACACTATTATTAATTAAACAGTAAGCCAGAAAATGTATTTTGTTTCTGAGGTTATTTAAAAGTTATTAAAAATATTACGATCGAGTAGAATATGCAAGAAGCAGAGAGAAATAGGAAGCTTTACAAAGTTCAAAGAACAATTGAATTTATAACAAAAAGATGCATGGGCCAAATTGCGGGTTGCTGCGGTATGAATTGGTTCTAATTATGTGCCTATAATATCCCTACATAATTTCGATAATGCTCGAATTAGGTCGTAACCCCATTGTGTTCCACGCGCTTATAAAGTTTATCAGCTATCAACGCGAAATTTATTAGAAAAACCTCTTTATTTTCACCTTTTCCTGATTTCTTCTTACTTCTGGTAGTTGGTATTTCTATTACTGGATTTCAACAAAATTTTGAATTTGTTAATTGTTTGTCACAGGTATACACCTACAGTTATACATTTATTTTTAGTTATACATTTCTTAAGTAAATTTACCTGATTTGCTACATTCTACTCCAGCGTCTTTAGAATGCCCACAATTATGAAGTCCCCAACCCGCATGAGGACAATTTGCTAGATTCTGTTCTTTCCCAGTACAGGCAATGTGAACTAGCCAAATACGTCCAGAACCAGCAGAAACATTGCTCGCAGGAAGAGATCTCGCAGCATCTTGATAGCCAAGCTGACGACATGCGACTATAGCGTCTTTGATATCCCATCCATCATCACAGATTGTTCCCCATTCCCCGTTGTAAAATACTTCAACGCGACCAGTGCCATTTTCACTATAAAGACCTTGCAACCTGACAAACACGGGCACAACTGTATAAAAGTGAAAATAGGTCTGTCTAAACAGTAGGTACAGTACGAGTAACCTAATTTCCAACATTGAACAAATAAATTATGCATTTCGTTCTAAGCATATAGCTTTTTGCAGAGTAATAATTAAACTTAATTAACTTCTTAAAAAATTTTTTGAGTTCATATAGTATGAATCATCAGTGGCGTAGCCAGCCTGACGATTTTGCCCCGCCATGTAAATTTCGAGTTATTATTATTATTCATTTCTTTAGAAATCTATTGTTTTCACAGTCAGTCATCCCAACCGACATCACATATCGTCCCCCAATGTCCATCGTAGAGTACCTCAACACGACCAGTGCCGTTAGCACTAAATGGCCCCTTTAATCTGAGTGAGCTCGGTTCGTCTTCAAAAACTTAAAAAAACATCGGTGCATATAAGAGATTTGGGTAGTTTTGAATAATATACAATGAACACTGTAAAGTTGTAAAATTACCACAGTCGATGTAGTTATACATGGGAAAGCTACATCATATTTCGCAAAGCATGCTTGCATTGCGACATCATATTTCCCAAATGCGCAATGCATGCTTGGTCACTACAGAAAAAGGTTCATTTTGCATCTTCATAAATTATTTTAAAGAAATGGCCTCTTAGCTTCCCTTTTAAGATTTATTTTCTTATGCAGTATATATGCAGTCGTACTACATTTTACACCGGCGTCTTCTGAATGTGGGCAATTGTGATCACCCCAATCATTATGAGAACAACTAGTTATATTGGGTTCATCTCCTGTACAAGCGACATGAGCCAACCATACAGGTCCAATAGCGTTACGAAACTTGCCTCCAGTAAGAGATCTCGGAACATATGGATAGCCGAGTTGACGACATGCAACCCTGGCATCTTTTATATCCCATCCATCAAAGCAGATTGTTCCCCATTGTCCATTGTGGAAAATGTGAACACGACCTTTTGCAATGGCACCTAATCGCCCTCTTAATCTCAATGACCCGTGGTCTGCGCGAAAATATCAGTGAGAATATAAATCTATACGCGTGAGGTATACAATGTGTTTAAAAAAGTAGTATAATGTATGTATCGTGTAAAATGTTTTCTTAAGGTTTCCAACTCTCCATCACATATACGAACTGTATAATATCTAATACATGAAAATACCCGTACTTAAATACAAAAATACAATAAAAGCATAATAGTTGAACTTTTGATTTAGGCAACAATTTCCGAAAATTGCACACAAATTTACTAAATTACAAAGCTTGGCTGCAAAATATTGTAAAGTGCGAACTGCGAATAAATGCTAAATTGGCAATTTTGTATACTTTTTTACTACGGCCGAAATTACAAAATTGGCTAACTCGAACAAATTATAATCAATTTTCCCTGCGTTATCAGGGACCTATCATATGGAATGATATAGACGAGAACACAAAAATGTTGTCAAAATCCACTTTTAAAAGATTGTTCGTCAATAATATTATTAATACATATGAGTACATGACTGTGTAATTAATATTTGTGTAATGATAGCCGAGTTTGTTTATCTTCTATTTTTCTTTTTTTTCTCTTTATTAATCTGATGTATACGTAAACATTATTGAAGTAAGGAACCCATAATGTCTCAAATAATTGTGAGGTTGTCTGACACGATTAACGAAAGTTATTTCAGATAACCTGCACCTCAATATCTGGGGGGTTTTTTATTATTCATGATGTAATGTTTATATGTGGTGTTAGTAAATTCTCTTCTTTTTCTTTTTCTTCTTCTTCTTCTTCTTCTTCTTCTCTTCTTCTTCTCTTTCTTCTTCTTCTTCTTTCTCTTCTTCTTCTTCTTCTTCTTCTTCTTCTTCTTCTTCTTCTTCTTCTTCTTCTTCTTCTTCTTCTTCTTCACAATTCATTTCAGCATCCAACACTGATTTTTTTTGCAAACATTCGCCTAGTGTGTTTTAAGATACAAATGCGTGATAATGACTTTTTGTTAATTAAGATTTAAACACTATTTGAAGCTACTTTATTCTCATCTAATAATGTAAAGGAGTTCAAGAAAGAAATATACTTGTCGGTTCCATATGGAGTTTTCAGTTTTTATGTTTTTCTTCGTAAGAATTATCCGTTCCGGCGGTTTGTGGCTTTTGTTTCATCACCAACAATTTGATTTGAGTATCACTTCGTTGGATGTTGGTATTTCTTGGCGTGATTCTCAGTTTACCGTTAGTACCAAAGGGCAACAAGATGAAAAAGACGAAAATAAACAGTCCTTGTAATGTATTTAAAATGCAGAACAGATACTGGAATGCTAGTTTAAAGTCGCCAATCGCCAGAAAACCAAAAGGCCAGGTCAATCCAAGGAGAACCGTAATTGCAATGCCCCGACGAGCTTTGTGGTAGCCCGTTGTTTTGTGGTTGAACGAACCTAGGACCGATCGTATGATTGCACAGAAAGCCACGATGTTCCCGACGAATACGACGACAGCTGGAGTGACGATTGCCACGATGAATGGTACGCCCAGCAGTCGACAACTAAAAGAGTAAATAAAAAAATACTCTAGAAGCCATTTATGATTGGATCTTTGAGTTTTGAGAAATGTTAAGAAAATAGCTTCTGTCTTGATAATGTATTTTTTTCATGATTATTATATGGTTTCAAGCTTTGAACCCAGCAGTGCGAATTAGCAGTCGTTGCTTACGTATAAAATTTTAGAAGTAGAATTTAGAAGTACATCTTACTATGATTTCGTGTCGCCATATTTATCCAATGCAACTATCGTTGTGATTGCTACGATCACAACAGGTGTGCCTAAAATATATCAAAGCTTGCCATAAAAAAATATACATATTCTTGAATTTAACACGAGAGAATTGTGCAAGCAGTTTCTAATATGGATCTTTAGCAATGACGAGGAGTTCAACTATGAGTGTAAGATTTGTTATTTTCCCGCCATTCGTCATTTTGCACCAAACTCGCGCCTTAGCAGCTGTGCCATGGAGGGATATAGTTTTAAACGCTCAGAAATACATTCATGAATTTTTCCATAATAACATACAAGAAAGTGAATCAGACTTTAGGTCATATCATTCCCATCTGTTTTCAATAGTGTCTTGTGCAATAATTTTTTTTTCACCTCACTAGTGCTTGGTGCCACAGTGGCGTGGCGAAGGGCGGGAATGTCGTTAGATTAAGATTGCGTAAACTGCTTGATGTCAACACCCTGCCATATTAAGCCATCCACGCCTATATGTTACCGAAAAACGTAGACTTGCCCTCCTTTCCAAATATAATATGCTTGCCATGGCCCTGATTGGTAAAACAGCAAATAAACTGAGTTTTAAGATTCACCAGCATTTGAGGGCGCTTGCGTACGGCGTTCGCTTTCAGCCAGCAGTGTGTCGTTTCATGAATTTCAATACCTTACCCCATGCAAACAGACAGTATCTCAGCATGAACTCGGATTGCGAAGAAGAAGGGAATATTTTCACAAATGCTAGATACATATTCAATGCTTCTACCCCCATCCACAAGAATGTTGCTAATAAGAAGTAATGCAAGGCAATTGCCGTTGCCCGACAGCCGTAAAACGTGGATTTGGCCTTCTCCGCCGCAACCATAAATACGAATATCATTAGTGTCAAGGCGATGCAGAAGTTCAACAAAATCTTGCTTGGGACCTTTTTCCTGCGCTCTCTAAGATATAAAGAGACGATGGATTAGCAGGTTTAAAGGGACATCAATGCGAACCAAAGTCATTCTTTTTGGAAGTGATTGCTAATCTCGTGCTTTGGTTTCAAACTTGCAAGTAAATGTGTTAAAGTGGTATCAAAGTGAAACAGCTGCCAAAAATGGCGGCTGTAATAACATTTTTTTTTATTCACCTCGCTCTTAGTGTCGCGATTATTGTCATAAATAGTCCAACCAACGATAGAGCGCACCCAACGTAACTGACTACACCAAGTATCTTATGGTGTGTAGGGGTATTCGTGGTTGCCGTCGTGTCCTAAAAGAAGCCGGAAAAACTAATTTACACCAGCAATTCACAGTTCAGTGAGAACATTGGTATAACTAAGGGAAGAAAGTTAACGTTTTAATAAAAGTCAAAAGAGGACAAACTTCTCGGATAAAAATAATATACACGTGAGTCAAATTTAGAGATTTAAGAATTTAGGTCAGGTTATTGCAGACTTGTGTATATAGATTTATACCATTAGCATTGCAAAGTTGGTCATATGATTACAGTTGCAAAGAACTCTAGATCTTCCTTTATCCAAAACTCGTTCAAGCCAACAGCCTTCCTGTGACCAATTTTCCAGACTAAAGTCCCAAAAGGAACACAAAGGACTGTTTTTATTTCCAGTTTTCTGAGAAATACTTGTGAAAACGAGCTTAACTGGCTCCTTTAAATTTGCGACCGGTGTCCCCTTAATGCTTCCAGCGATTACAAAGCTATCCAAGCTACTTTGAGTTTCCTTGGTATCTGAAGAAATTGTTCTAAAAAATTTTGTCTGAATAAAAAGGAAAAAAATGACTCTCTGTTTTATCAAATTCTTTGTAACATTTGCTTCTTTAAATAATGTTCGTGGAATAATAAGTGAAGCTGACGTGGTGGAAGAAACGAAATCACTAAAATTTGTTGAAACGCTCGTATTCCTCGTGTATGCCTCTCCAGGCCTCTTTACCACTCCTGAAAATGTAAGCCCTATAAAGTCTTTTGGTTGTATCTCTTGCAGATTAAGAGCATAGTTTCTTTTAATTTTTTCAAATTTGCAGCCCGTACCAACAGGTATTGTCTCTGCGATGTTATTCAATGTTTCAACTATCCTGTAAAATAAAAAGAGTAAAGAAATCACCATTAACATTGTTAATTTTCGTACGAAATAGTTGTGATGAAATATCTACGAGGGCATTTTGAAGTTCCCTTTAGCCTCGTGACATTATCATTAAAAAAATCCAGCAAAAAAACTTCGGTCGTTATGATACTGTGAAACCAGCCATCTAAAACAAGGGGGGGATATTGTTTTAGACCAATTAGCGAGTTTTGTTTACATTTTTAGTAAATCAGAATGCATAAACTACTTTGACTACTTCCGGTAAAAAGGTATATTTTACACGAAGTCTTAAAAATTTAGGCATTTTGATTGCCTTTGCCTGGAAAATGTAAAGAAATATGCGATCTAAAGTGTCGATATCTAGACATCGAACTGGTTACTTTATATACCTTGAGGAAGTGTTTTTGTTGTGTTGGCTTTTTGAGATTTCTTCCATCCTTGCATCCAGGACATTGTCTATTGTGGTGAGCGAATCCTCAAAGGTCTATGGATGAATATGGAGAACACAGACTGAATATGAAGACGGATGAGCGTTACTAGCGTGAAGAAACATGCAGTCATACACAAGGTGCCTTGAATGCAGTTTGAAGTCTAATGGATGTGTATTACGTTACAAAATGTCGGAGCCGTAACTAACCTCGTTCATTTTTTCCTTGACCGCGGCAATTTTTTCTAATATTGTGGCAATATTATTAATGTCCCCAGCTGAAGTCCTTGGATTATGATCAGACAGATTTTTCAAATCTCGAGAGACTTTCAACACATTCGCTGTATCAACGTCTTCCTGCAATGAAAATGGTTGAAGTACTTTTAGGTTACTCTGAAATACGCTGCCTGTATATCACCTCGCCGGGCATTTAATTACCTTCGCCAAAAGAAAAAGATCTTTGCTTCGTTTGTCTCGAAATTTGCATTGTGCCGCCATGATCGGGCCCCAGGCACACCCACTTTCTGTTTGGTTCGTGTACAAACATTTACGAGTTGCGAAGGACTTGCGGTTGTTCGGACAAGCAAGTGTAGCAAAACTTCCAACTGAAGTTTCTGGCCACCGGAAAACTCCATACGCCTCGTGCGAGCCATCTTCCAGGCTCGGACAGGAGACTAAAATGGAAGCAGTTAAAGCAAAGATAAAACAAGTTTACTGCCTGCTGAGAAATTATATGCACTGCACTATGTTTGGCTGCGTTGTGTGCGGTTTGTCATGGAAAGTAAATAGAAATAACGATAACAAAATTGAAAATTGTACTCAGAGTGTTAACAAAATCCATCTTTATTACCTGTTCTACATTCTACTCCAGCATCTTTTAAGTGACTGCAATAAGCATTGTGATCCCATCCAGCATGGGAACAGTTCGCCAACCTTTTTTCTTTTCCGGTACAATCGACGTGACCTAACCAAATATTTCCAGATCCAGAAGGAACCTGCCAAGCATCCGCATTAAGAGGTCTAACAGCCTCTTCATAACCAAGTTGACGACATGCAACCTTGGCATCATTTATATCCCAACCGTCATCACAAATCGTCCCCCAAGTTCCGTTGTAAAAGACCTCAACACGACCGGTTCCATTTTCACTCAAAGGTCCTTTTAACCTCAGGGAAGCAGTCATAGCTAAGAATATATATATATATATATATATTTAGTTATATATATTTAGTTAGAACAACTTTTCAATTTGTAAACAATAAGAGAGTGGTCGTACTGCTATTGCCCCATTGCCCATTGTGGAGTACTTCAACACGCCCTGTTCCATTCGATGGTCCTTGTAACCTCAGTGACCCTGATTTACCTGCAGCAACTGAAAATAATATATAAAGAGAGTGGTCGTACTGCTATAAGAAAAAGACACACCGGATAAACGGCTTAAACCACAGATAATACTTGGACACAATTGGTACCATTCTCGCTTGTAACGTGAATGATATATTCACAGCTGCACAAACTAGGAGATACGAAAGTCTAAGACCATAAGTAGGAAGTAAAAGTGACTGCCCAAGCCATAGAACTCCACCAACCTGTACTCTTATTTCTCGATGTCTCTGGTAACTTTGTCGACATACGTTTACCTGCAGAGATCAAAAGATATCCGTGATCATTTTATCAATCGTAATCCCATAATTTCTATTTATTTCAGCCCTAACAATTTTTAAAGAACCTATTTTATGTTGCGAATTGTTTTATATTTATGAAATAACAGTTAATTTGTTGAAGTTGTCAATAAAACTTTTCATTCTAGCCAATTAGGACGTTGCTGATTACCATCGTTCATCGACTGAAATGTTTTAAGTTTACGAAATGACAGTTAATTTGTCGAAGTTGTCAATGAAATACAAACTTTCCATTCATTACGATCCTTCATATTATGCGCATGCGCGTAACTAGCAAAACCATCAAGCATTGACCGCCTGAAACCCACCTTCAATCACATGAATCTCAGGGCCGAATTAGTGCCCTCGCACGGCGCTAGCTCGGGAGTTTTAATATGTGCAACATGCCACATGCGAAACGACTGAAAAAACAAAGCTGAATGCGTATCAGGCACAATGATGACAAAAAAGAAAATTGTACTCGAAATGGTAACAAAATCCATCTTTATTACCTGTTCTACATTCTACACCAGCATCTTCTATGTGTTTGCAATAAGCATTGTGATCCCATCCCGCATGGGAACAGTTCGCCAAGCTTTCTTCTTTTCCGGTACAATCCACGTGACCTAACCAAATAATTCCTGTTCCAGAAGGAACCTGCCTGTCATACGCATTAAGAGGTCTAACAGCCTCTTCATAACCAAGTTGACGACATGCAACCCTGGCATCATTTATATCCCAACCGTCATCACAAATCGTCCCCCAGGTTCCATTGTAAAAGACCTCAACACGACCGGTTCCGTTTTTGCTCAAGGGTCCTCTTAACCTCAAGGAAGCAGTCATAGCTAAGAATATACATAGATGTATTTTCGTTAATTAGAACAACCTTTCAATTTCTCAAATTGTTTAGTCGGTTAAACCGTAATAAAAAGTAACGATTGTTTATTATTGATTATTTACGTGCATGCATGATTGAAAATAGTAAATACGAAAGGATCCTATAGCTTTATAAAGAGTTTTTTATCTCTGCTCATGACTCTCACTAAAATCTTATATGTTTTCTTCAAAATCATTCGCCTTTGTATTCGATAGGTAGAATCGTAGAATGATATTATACAAGGCATAAACTAATGCAGTTTACACTTTCCATAAGGCTAGTTTCCACTCAGGAAAAATCTCCTTTGGATCGGAACGGACAGGAAAATTTCCTTTGTCGGCGAGCTTTTAGGCGGCTTTTATACAAAGGAAACTTTCCTGTAATCCTGTCCTGTCCGATCCAAAGGAGAATTTTCCTGCGTGGAAACTAGCCTTTAGAGGACAATGCGATTGTTAAGAAGCCTTGTTGCTCTGTATTTGGTTCTTAGCTCTATCATAAAGTGCTGTCGAGGCATAACTCGGTTAGACGTGGTTTAAACTTGCTCCTAAGAATCGACGAAAATTTTCATTTTTAGGGCCACTTTTTATATGTAGCTACCAGTGAACTCTAATAAGACTGGAACGATAACTCAACAATAAAAACTAGTCATTGGATGAAGCCGATTTGAATATAATTTGCTGATTAAGGCGGGAGCCGCGCGAGCAAATCAAGCATTCAAAAGAACTGGGGAGAGTGAGAATTCCGTAAAAATAGTATTTTTTGGCAAAAAATTGCCAGAAAAGTGCAATTTTTATTTGACCACTTCAACTTTATACAACGAATTTACCCTTTTTGGATAGACCTAAGTAATCCGCATCATCTTACTGTAAAAACCGGCGAGGTACCAGCTTTGTACTTGAAATATTTAAAGAATTTGAACGAGCCGAAAAAAAACTTCGCCTTCAACTCGCAAAAAAAATAGGTTTGCACCTTTTCACGTTCATAAAACTTGTTTTTTAGTAAAGTCTAAGTGTCAATGCTTGTTTTAAGCTTTTCTTCATGATCAGATGAGATGGATTTGTGTATAAAAACCGACGTTTTTTTGGTGGTGTAATTTCAACTCTTAGCCTTCATGGCCATAGAGATTATAAATAAAACTAGAGGAGTCATCGAGGAGATATTGGGGAGCGCGTTAATGGGGGGCAAATCCAAGTCCCGGATGTTCACTCATTCATGATGTCCGAGGCCAAAATATGTCGTTTTTAACGAGTTTTTTTATTTCTAAATGTTTTTTTGCCTAAAATATCGTCTCAGGATGTCTAAGTTAGTAAAACCAGTTTCAAAAAGCACTGTTTTTCCTTAAAAAACCGGCAAAGCGACCTAAATAACGAATATAATTTTTTTAAAATTGTTGCTAACGTGGTTGCTAAGGAGGCATTGATCTAGCCAATCAGCGCTTGGCTTAGCATCCGGGACTTGAATTTGCCCCCCATTATCGCGCTCCCTTTTTTGACTGATGTTTCCGATACCAATGCCTCCTCTAGTGTTATTTATAATCTCTATGTTCATGGCGGCCATCAGTGCTGGCTTCAAAGATGGCGGCCAAGTTATCGTTCCAGTCTTTTTACAGTTCACTGGTAGCTACAGCTGGCGTGTAAGGAAGTCGTTAT